GCCCTGGTTCCAGCCCCCCCCCCACAGCAGGAAGGCCAGGTTCGGAATTGTTATTTTTGGTCATGCTTTGTTTTTTTTTCCCTACTATTTCAACAGTGCTGTTACAGATAGTGCGCTGCCTTCATGTTACAGCATCAAAAGCAGAGATCGTAGGGAGCTGCTGCTGACAAGCTGGTAAAATGCAAAGTAAAATACCCAAAATTCTGAAGTTAACTAAAAAAAGAAAAACCTGACAAAAATATTTTGTCATAAAGTATTGTAGGAATGTTTGGATTTTTGTTTTGCTTTTAAGAGACTTTCCTGACCAGCTCCCTGCTACTTTTAAGCCTGTAAAATCATAAGCTTTGCAGCCAATCTGGAGGCCAGCACGCTCCATCCACGTGAGCACGAAGCACAGCCTTCTCCAAGGGATCGGAGCTCAGCCTGTGACAGGTCTGCTCCCATGCCTGCAAGGCAGAAGAGCAAGCGAAGGACGGGTATGCCAAGGACACACGGCTGAGGGAAAATATCCAAATGCATGTGGCAAAACTTACCGCGGACTGGAGACACGTGCGGTAGAAATCACCTGCTCCGGGCAGGCGAGCGGTTCCAAACACCAGGCTCCGCACTGAGGAGCTAACGCGCCCAAACGCCAGCCCCGCGTCCCTCACTGCGACTCCCATCAGAATTCGTCCCCTACGATCTCAAGGGCTCTTTAGGAGGTGGAAGTAAGGGTTGGAGGGGATGATGAAAATTAGTAACTGCCCCAGCCCTACAAACCTCTTTTTTACAAGGCTCTACAGCAGGAGGGGGAATAAACAAAGGCAATCCCTGCAGCAACAGCGCATTGGCATGTGAATGCAGTTTTCAGCAGAAGGAAGAGAGGTTGGTGTAGGAGAGGCTTAGTGACAGCAGCCGGCTTCAGAGAGTGACAGCTCGGGCTTAGATAGGCGAGTGGTGGGACCTACCATTCACTCTGCACTTCCCGAGAGCCAGTATTTTCCTTTGGTTGCTAAAGGTATCCTCCCAACACTCCTCCCAAGCTGGTACAAACATAAGCCAGCGAAACACAAGGGAGTGAAGTCTGCTACCGCACACCAAAAAATGGCATCCATGTTAAAGGACACGCAAGGGATCCCTCAAAGTCAGGGCAGCACAGGATATTCTACTTGCCTGGACTCATTCCCAGAACAATCTCTGGAGCTGCTCCAAGAAAGCTTTTAAGTTGTTGGAAACTGCAGGGCTGGCACCCCCAAGTGGTTACTGAGCTCGTCGTGCAGCCTGAACAGCTTCTCTCAAGTCTCACCAATAGCTCGCCCACCGATAACCGAAGTGCATCTCCCCCAGCACACGGGGATTTCGGAGCTCCCCCAGCACCATGGCAGAGCACGGCCCTCTGCTACAGCTGAGGCATTGGCTCCAAATCCCACTGCAGAGGGGCTGAAGCCAATTCGGACACAGATTTTTTCGAAGTGATCTCTTCAGATTTTGTTTCGCAAGAGGAAGGAATCCCTATGAGACCTTTCCCTCCCAGAGAAAAGTCAAGTGTTACAAAACCTTCCTGCAGTCAGCAATATTTCTTATGTACGTAAGGTTAATCCTACAGACTGATGGAGGCAAAGTAAAACTGCCAATGGTCGTCGGTACAGTACCGCATCGTTGCACACAGCCTGGAGGCTTTCTGTCTAGTAAGCTTGGTGCCCTTCATATTGCAGCATATCCTTCAGGAATGGCTGTCCCCTCCTGCTTTTAAGTTATGGATAGGAAAACGTGACCACCGGTATAGGATAAACTTACAACATCTGCTAAGTTGCACAGCCACTCACAGCCACAGAGTAAATCTTAGCACTGCCAAGCAGCAAATGAAACCAAACGTGGAGCCCGCTTTGCTTATCCCAGTAAGGAGTGAACGTAGAAATGAAGAAGTACTTAAACGTCAGCGCATTCGGCTGCTGACCCCCCGGGATTTCACTCTGCCACATGCCAGAGTCACGCCACGGATCAGCAAGAGGCATGAGCCACCACGGACAAAAGGCTCCTTCAGAGCTCCAGCGTTGCATCTGCTGCTGCGTTTAAAAGGAGGAGGGAAGGAGCCACAGTCCGAAGGGTTAGCAATATTTAAACTGTGTATGAGGGGAATCAAACGATGAATGACTCTTGCCCTGTACAACGTAAGGGCACTGGCAGCACAGGGACGCGCTGCAGTTACACAAACACTCGAGAGCAGGACACGACTCCGGGACGTGAAGGAAGGAGCGCAGAGGCGTGCGTGCCAGCCAGACGGCAACCCGAGCAAGGGTCTCGGCAGCTATTTCAGAAGAGACAAAAAGCAGATGTTTCACAAAAGCTCACTTTCCAGGTTTATTAAGTAAAGTTAACTGAATTGTTTTCATTTTGTGGGGATTCCTTTCCGTCTAACCCGGTGGGTTAGCAGAGTTGCACAGAATCACGGTTGGACTGTGATAACCCAAATACAACTTTGGCTCATCTCACCGCTGACACATATGGAATGACTGGGGGGTTATTACATGCTGTGTCTGCTTGAGGCAGGTACATGTACAGATCAGCACAAGTTGCAAATGATAGTTTACATCCTTTCAGAACAGAGCAGGGCATTCAGCAAATGCACTGCAATGAGAAGACACATGAAAAAGAAATTATACAGACTTGCAAATACATAAGAAGTTCAAGAGATGCAAGAAACCTCAAACACAAGAAATGTCAAGGGGGGAAAAAACCACTTAATTTCCGACACAATGTGTTCAAATGAAAACCCAGCTGTAATTTAAATTCCCTTCAAAATGGGAAACATACAGTAACGCAATTAAAGAGAAACCAGGTCTCGTCCTGGGAGAGATGTGTCCAAAAACACTGATGCACAAACAGGTTCAGAGTTCTAAGCAAAATGTCCCTGGGCATTGGTGTACTTGACTCTTGGAGCCAGAGCAAAGCAATTCATTACACTTGCTGGACTGCTGGGCCTACTGCTGGGTCTTGGTGGTATAACAGCACGTAGGATTCCAGATGTCAGAGAGAAGGCAGCACACAAACTGCTGGTTACTGGGAAAAATGCCACGGGCCAGATCTCCCAGGAATTGACTAGAGTAAGGACACCTAATTCTGGTAGCCTGGCCTCCACTGCACACAACATTAGTGTAATGTTCTGCAAGGTTCTTCAGTTCTTAGCTCACTCCTTTCTCAGCCTGAGTTGTTTCTGTCTTGTGCATGAGCACAACTGGCCGTGCAAAATGATCCAAAAAACATAAGGGACAGGACCAAAGAAAACTGGCTGAACCTGGGGCTGGCTTTCAGCTCCTATTTCCAAATATCAGTTAAAGGTTGGAAATTTATCTACAAAAAAAATAATATAAATGAAATAAAAAATGGCACCGTCCACAAAATTAAAAAAATCGGAAGAGGAAACAAAGCTAAAAAGTACTAGTCCACATTCTCTTAATAAGTTAAACTTACTTTCCCTCCCCCTGTCTACAAAAGGGGTAGAAGCAAAGGGGGAAAGAGACTACAAAAAATTTAAAAAAAAAAAAAAAAAGGAAAAAAAAAGGAAAGAAAGAAAAAAAAGGAAAAAAAAGAAAGGAGAGAGAAGGAGAGAGCGCGCGCGAGAGAGAGAGCAGTCTGTGGTCAGAGGCTCAGAGCAGGGCTGAGTTCCTTTTAAGGGTTTAAAAGATGCAAAACAGTTCCTCAAAAGTTCCCTCTCTTCAACAGTTAGTTCAATGCTGTAGCCATAGAAACTCAAGTATATATTGGAGGAGAGATTCTTTCAGGCAGATCCACCGTCATCCGGAGAGCTGCTCAGCATGTGTTAATCCTCAATGATTATGGGTTCATCATTCATGGGCTGGCGTAGCTGCACTGCCTGGATGGGCCGGAGGATAATAGGCTTGTAAGGGCGTCTGGCGGCTCGCTTGGCTTCGGAGGAGGAAAGCAGCTTGCGGATTTTCCTGCAGACAGTAAGGAAGAAAGAAACCGATTACAGAGACCGGACGCTAAGGCATTGCAGATTTCTCGATCTCTCCAAGTGGAACCAGGCCTGCACATGCAGAGGCTGCTTGCTAACGGGATGGGCTGACAATGTTTATTTCAGCAATGTCTTCCCCAGGGAACTTTTGTTTTCGCATTTATAAACCCACCAATGAAGAGGAAATTGCGTTCTCTGTTCCAGAATCCTTCCCCTGCAGAGCAGAAGGCATTCTGGTCCAGCCTTGGAGGACCAGGGTCTACTGCTGTAAGTATAACACATGAAATAGTTATCACAGCCAGTTTCCATACCACTAATTTATTTTGATGCATGCAGACACATCAGTTGGACATGCTGCAGGCAGCTTTGCGGGAATTTACGAAGCCAAGTTGCAATCAAACCTCTTCTGGCAATGTTGGTCACCTCTCCGCCTGTTAATCCATCTCTCGCAGAGCTCTCTGACCTTCCCCAGCCCCAAGCAGGTGCACACAGCTGCCTCTTCAAAAGAAACCTGTCACAGCACAAGCTGGCAACATTTGGTCTCCCATGGAGCTACGCCTCAAGGCTGAGCTGCTGCAAGGCAGCTCCACGATGGCCACTAGCCAGTGAACCAATACTGGAGCCTTCCCCCCTCCGCTGGGAACACGAACAGGGTCGTTGTCTCCCCCTCTTATTTCTCCCAGACTGCATGTACCCAACCTAGATATTCACGTCTTGCATTTGTTAAGAGCTCCCCTATGTGTTACAAGACTAGCAACAAGCCTTATCAGATGCAGGAAGCTGTTTTCCATACGGAGAGAAAGTAAGAGAGAGAGAATGAAGAGAGGACACACTCAAGTTTTAAAATTAGCAAAATAAGGTAGAAAGAGACAATACAGAATGATTACTCGTTTCTTTTTGTCAATACCCGGCTTAGAGCTAAAGGCAGTATCCTTAAAAAAGAAAACAACAGCAACAATGAAAAACGTGCTATGTAATTAAAATGAGGAATTCGTTTCCAGAGGATGTTTTGGCGGTCAAAGGCATACAGAGATTAGAAAGGAAAGTGATAAATATTCACAAGAGTAGTCTACCAGTACCCATTATACACAGCCTCCAGTTCAGGAACTGGGGCAACAAGGAGGGTCTGATAAAGAAGCACTGCCAGCTCCTACCGTAACGATTTTTTACCTTACTGTGAGAAACACAATACTGCACTAGAGGAAGGGCAGCCACCACAGCTTTACAGTCCACAGCTCAACCATCCCAAAGATAATTTTTTCATTTTTGGTTACTCAACATTGTTGGGGTCAAATTTTTCATTTAAAAAAAAAAAAAAAAAAAAAAAAAGGAAAAAAAAAAAGGAAAAAAAAAAAAGATAAAAAGACAAGACACATTCATAGAAGAAACTGGTCAAAATATTCTCTCCTGAATAAAATTCACCCTCCCCACCACCAGCACTGACAAATCAACAACTTCAACTGAAGATTTTGAATCAGCTGGTAAGATCTGGTCATCGCTTCACTTGCTTTTTTTGCCCACTGAGCAGAACAAGCCTACTACATAGAGCTCACACACACAGAGACACGTCTTTTGTTTGCTTAGTGTCCCCATTTCTCCAGCGCCTTCGAAAGCTGAAAGGCCACAGAGTGGGGAGAGGAGAGAACAGGGTGGAAAAGTGGTGGTGAGGAGAAAAAAAAAACCAAAATCTTTATGTGATGATTTTTCCAAGACTCGCCTAGCTGAAGTTGATCTACTTTTAGCCAGCGGAGCTTCTTACAGTATCCACACATGCTCAATTAGACACGCTGCCATCAGAAACACGTCTCGTAGCAGTTCTAGATTCTGATCAGGTCACTTGCTGCCTCCGCTTGCATAAATTATAAATGCTGAGTTCCTCACTGTGAGGCTTGAATTCAAAAACTTATTCCTTTCAATCGACCAACTTTTCAAACTGCTCCCTCAAAGCTATCCAGTTTTCTAGCATCATTCTCAAGAGTGCCACACAAAAGGGGGAGGAGGAAGGGTGTAAAACTTTAGGAAAACCTACTTTCTGTGACTGAAAACACAGCCTGACCCTCAGCTGGAGGATGATATGCAGATATTGCTGCTAGATTGATTGCTATGGAGCCAACACAAAGCTCAAATTGTTTCAGAGCTCACAAACAAGTCTTACATTCTTGACACTGGAATGCAGCAGATGGTTCAGGGAAAAGTTAGAGGTGAAACGCCCAACAGAAAACCCGTGCCGCTTACAATGCTACATCGCTCAGGCTTCCCTGCTTTTCAGCAGGCTGCCAAACATCTCTTTTCAGCACTCATCAGTCAGCTAAGCAGCAAGGCTGTCAGACAAAGAAGCCTGGTGTTTTTTTTTTTTTGTTTGTTTTTTTTTTTTTTTTTATGGAGCAAAAAGCCGAAGGGGTGTAGAAAAAAAAACCCGGGTTTTTTTTTTTTTTTTTTTTTTTTTTTTTTTTTTTTAATGGAAGAGATAAGGTCTTATTGAGCTGATGTCTATCACTGCGCTACAATTTCTGCGTTAGAGATGTGCCGGTTGCTGTGGGACTGATCTTCCCTGCCTCAGTCAGTGGTTCTGTATGAGCAGACGATTCCGTGCCCTTACAGTAAGTTGTTCTCATGACCAAGATGGCACTTGATGAATATTCTCACTGTTCTGTCAGATCAAACGGTGGGACCTTGTAGTAGTACTGAGACATTACTACCATGGACCTGCAGTATTTCTTGTGGGTTGGATGATAAAGATGTCAAGTGTTTTGTAGATGCAGGATTATGAAATAAGCCTTGAGCATCTTAGGACTGAATTAGAGACCGTATATCCCGCATCCGCAATGGCACGTGACTTTGCCAGAGCTGAAGGTCTGTAACAGGATCCCAATACCTCTTTACTGCCTCCCTTGAAAATTAAATACTTCTCTCACTCTAGTTTCAATTATGTAAGGGATCCCGCTGCTTACTTTCACAGCGTCTTGCAGGGACAGAAAAGGAGAAGGGAAAGACAAAATAAAGATGTAAGCTGGTGTGAATTGCACAGTTGCATTAAAGGTGCCCGTAGGAAAAAGTGTGACAAGGAAATTAATGTCATGTTTCGTCTGAGTTCTAACAGGGGGGTTTCCTGCACTGAAATCTGATGATCCAATAGATCAGCAGTTAGTAACTTGAACGTTACCAGTCTCAGTTTGTCTAAGAAGCCTATCTTTGATACTAGGCCCACAGAACAGTCACTTGACACTTCAAATGCTTTGCAGGCTAAGGAGGAGGTTGGGGATGTCAGGACTCTGACTACGCACTTCTTGCTGAACAAATGCATACTCAGAGTAGCACCAAATTTAGTAGTACCAGAAGGGATGAAGTACTCCTGGCCACCTTGGTCACTTGTAAGGGCTCAGACATCCAGTAATTCGCATGTCTATCTCTGCTAGGTACTGGAGGGAAACATGAGTGCTTCTCTGCCTGCTGGGGCACTGATACTGCAAGTGTTGATAACTCCAGGCTTCAGACACAGACAAAAGCCAGAGAGCACCTCTGCTTGCAGAGAGGGCTGAAAAGCAGGGCTGTGGCTTTGCTCTGACCTTCTTCGAGGTTACTCAGGAGAGAGGCATCAAGTTCTTGGGAGGAAACCACACAAGCATATCTCCCTACCTTTCTGACCACACCCAGGAGCAGTCCTCGCTTCCTAGGAATAACACAGTACTGGGAATATGCACACAATACCTTTGCTGTAGGGATCAGGCCACATAGCTTCTATCGCTCTGTCAGCAGCCTGCAAACAGAGTTTCAAGTGAAACTCATGCAAGGAAAGTGTCTTTTACTATTTTTATCCTGTCGCAGACTAACAAGAAGGACTAGCAGAAGCAGTACCACCAAAGGAGGAAGATGGACACTGCAGGGCTAAATCTCACCGCTAATGGTGGCAAACATAAACCACCAAAGAAATGAAGCAGCTCAGCCCCTGGAAACCCTCAGCAGGGTTTCAGTACTCAGATGCACGAGGAGACCTTCTGAGAGGTAATACAAGAGACTTCAGGATGCAAGAGGGCATGCAGAGGCTCCGTTCCTCAGCATCACCCGTGTGCCAGAAGGCCCCTATCCTGTTACTGAGAGCCTGCAGTGGGACCTCCAAAGGCGTTTATGGGTCTGAACCAGGTGCAGTCCCCACCTCAGTCTTCCTCCTCTTATTGCCCATCTCTTACAGGAACTGCTCTGGAAGTAGAAGAACCTGCTTTCTCTGGAATGCAAGTGCATGATTAGGCACATCAGACACGATTAGGTATGTCACAGCTTTTATCCACCTAAACACCAGCAGTGGTGTCTGCATTCAGTTTGTAGCAACAGATCTGCTAAACATATCCTTGTCTAACCACAAAATAAGCAGCAGCACCCACAAGGAACACCAACCAAAAGACCTCCCCTTAAATCCTCTGAAAAGACCGAATTTCCTACCTGGTTTCTTCAGTGGCCATGTAAAAAACATCGTCTGGTGCATCAATCCAGTTCATCCTCCTCCTTTTCACTGGAGGCATGGATCCACCACGAATTAATCGGACTTTTGTTGGGTATGATTTCCCATTGAGCAGCAAGTTTCGGCTTGGTCCCTAACGCGACATATAAAAAAGTACAATTATGGACTGCAACAAACCTGCGGTAGCATGTGATAAGCACTCAAATGAAAAGAGAAGTAAAGTTTTCATATCAGTTGTTCAGAGTTTTTGCTAAATATATCCCCTTTTGCCCATGACTGAACACAGAATTCACATAAAAGCAATTGTCCACAAGCAGTCGAAGTTAGGCACCTTCAATATACAATAGGACAGCAATACTCCAGCGACAAGACAGATAATAAATGGAAGGCATTACCAATAATCTGTTGCTTGTGACTGAAAGATGACATCAAGTTTGAAAGATTGAGCATAAGACTAAGATTTCAGCTACTACTATAAATCTAGAGCAACTCTATTGATTTCAGGGAAGAAAATCTAGCTACACAGCAAATCAAATAAAAAAATCAGAATTTACAGTTATTCTGGGGTACCAAACTTACCCATATCCTTTTTGTTCTAGGAAGGTTAATATTTAATGATGTATTAAATATTTTGTTGAAAACAAATCTAGAACTACAAAGCTTAGCAGATTTCGTCATAAAATCCTTTTAGCATTTAACACCACAGATTTCCCATATACAATACATTTGCTTTGTTAATCAACACAGGTATAATTTTCCAGACCCACAGCAGCCCCCTTCCACTCAACTGGAAAAACACGAGCTGTTATTAAGAGAGGTGCAGATGCAAGGGAGCAAAGGATTAAGCTTCTCAAATGCAGCTGTCCTTGATCATTTGATATATTGAGAAATCCCACTGGAATCAGTAACACTGGACAAGTCAGGAAAGATGCAAAATAAGGGCCCAGAAAATTTCATATGAATAAATTAAAGCTGGTCAGAAAACACCCCTAGAAATTTAATTCTGGTATTTCACAGGCCATCCTCCGAGGTCGGACCATCTCCCCAGATGCACCCAGGCTTCCCCTTCTGCCCATGAAATGGGAAACTGAGTGTGTACATGAGGGATGTCTGACCTGGGAGATCCACCTCAAAAGGAAAGGTGGGGACATGAGGTACTCACGTCCTTACGTGTCAGGTTATGGCAAAAGCTCAACCAATTTTAACACTTTGACTTAGTAAGACTTCAGTCTGTCAACTAAGAAAAAAAAAAACCTCAAACAAACCCTGTGTCTATCTCATTTTTATCTGAGGAGAAAAGAAAAAATGATCAACTTTTTTTTTTTGACCAGCCTTAATCAACTGTGCTAGCAAGATCTACTTCTTGTAGAAAATGAGGGCTTTAGAGCTCAACAAACAAAATCCCACCTTTTAAAATCCTAAGCTCTTTAAAGCTGTTATATACAAGTGCAATAACGATTTAATTTCTTAGTTGCCCAGCTCCATGTTATACAAGACAACTTCGGCACCACAGCAGACCACTGAAATACTTCAAGAATTGCTTTTATATTTGTCGTTTATTAAGGAAAAGCTTTCAAATAAAAGGCTTTTCTGTTGGTATTTTTACCCCCTCCAGATTTCTCCAAGAAAATCCTTTCATTAGTTTTGCGAAGGATATTTTCTCTGCATGTGCTACAGACACAGGAAAACAACTCTGGAGAAAGTTCTTGGAAATACCTAGAAGGGGCAACCCTGTGCTTCCAGGTTGCCTTTTCTCTACCTGCACAGAGCAATCTCTTTCAAATGGCACATCCTGAAAGGTGGACCTTTAATTTTCAGTTCAGTAGCACACTTTATCAAGCAACCAGAAATCAAGGCCGTTCAGGGGTTTCACCCTAAAACACCTGAAAAGTGTTAGGTCATCTCAAATTTCTCCCACTGCGCTGGTTTATTCAGCAGACACAAACAAGTAGCCAGTCTTCTCAGTGACAAGAAATGAAGCTGAATTCAAGGAGGAATACAATTTACCACTTCATATCAGATGCTCAAGTAACAAACCAAATGAATGCTTCGTTATTACAAGCAGACTAGCATGCTCAAGTTATAGCCTACCCTCATGATACTGCACACTATCCAAGGGCATTATTAGATTTAATAATGCTTGTGATCACCATTCAGTGGCCATCAGCCATACCTGCTGCTGACTGACCCATGTTAGAGTGACTCTACTGACACTAATGTTGTGGCAGTTCACCTAATGAGGCAAGCTCCACTTTATCAACACCAGAAGATCATTTCCAGGGAAAAAAAAAAATTTGTGCTTGAAGTTCTCTCCCGTAAGTCTCCCATAGGCCATGCGTAAGGGGGGAAAGCGATGCACAGCCTTTGCGCTGGCCCCTTCACACCAAGGTGAATTTCATGAGAAAGCATTTTGCCAGAGATGCATCAGACTGGCTATTTGCTTCTGTCCTTTGATAAAACTCAGCATAATAGATGAAAGGCTAGGAACCATTTTTACTCAAAAACAAAAAAACCCCAACATAAAAAACAATCATTCTCAGCAGACAACTTGCACACCAACTTCCTAAAAAGAAAAAAAAAAAAGAAAAAAAAGAAAAAAAACCAAAACTGTTTTCCAAACAAACCCTTCCACCAGTTAAGCCTTCCTCCTTCAGTGAAACACATTCCACCTAGAAACACATCCCAGAACTTTGCTATAAACAGCCACTCAGCTTCTGTATGAGCAGAAACAAAACGTTCCATTCAAAACAGAATCTCATTTATATATAGATATAGATAGATTTGAGGTTTAAATTGTATTTAACCACTTCAATGTTTCATATGCCCCCCAATATTTTTTTTTTTTTTAAACTTTTCAATTAATTGGGAAGTATGACCAGCTGCAAACAGCAAAGACGGAAGTGAAACACTAGGGTTTAATGGGGTGTTCTATCTAGTGTGGGTTAATAATTCTTCTTTTCCCTGTTTTGGTTAAATGAACATTCTCTTACCATTTGTCTGGTTTGTCCGTGGTTAGGCAGACCTAACAAACAGGAAAGAGAATAGAGCTGGTAAGACCATTGCTTTTCCAAGACAGAAAAAAGTACAAAATCAAAACACACGCAGCTATGATTGCAACTGTGTTGTTTTGCTAAAACAAGAGTTGTCTACCAAACTAACTTCTCTCCTCCTTGAAAGGTAACTCGGAAAAGAGCTTCCTCCTTAGCAACATGGTTTGAAGAGCAGCGCCCCAAGTTAAAAACACGTTCCATTCGCTCCGTCTTTTCTCCGTTTACTCACACCTTTCTTCAAACTACTGCTAAAAAGTACACCTCCTCTTTCAGATTTGAGGTTCTCCTCAAGTCTTGGGAAAAATCTGGCGTTCTGTTTTAGTTTTGGAGGAATTTACTGACATCAAGAAGGAGAAAGTGGAAGGTATTATACACTGTCAAGGCAGCAACAAATAAAATCCTTCCTATCATCCTTGGATCCCCAGGGAACTCTTCAGCTCAGACGTTAGCTACAAGCTGTTAGCAAACAGCTGTGTCTGCTGACCCTACCACAAGTAAATACTTCCATAGGCGTAGCTCCATCAGTCAGAGAGCACAGCGACTCCAGCTATCACACAAAGCCCTTCCCCAGTAACACAAACAGCACCAAAAAGCACCGAGCACAACGGCTTGATTTTACTAGCTTATTTGCTGTACTATCCGATACCCTATCATGTTGCCATAGCGTACATACTGAACGGTACATACATGAGACCCTGCAGGTCTTGGGATACAAGAGAATGATGTGTTGCTATAAGGCAGCAGGGTATGGCACGGAATGGACTGAGACCTAATAAACCTTTTTGTTAGCACCGTTTAGTTTTTTAAGATGCATGCTCCCAGAAAACACCATTTCATTAACATCAGTGCACCAAACCATCTTTCTCGGCCCCTTCTGGCTGACAACCAAAATGTCAGTACATCAAATCCAACCGGTACTATACGACAGGCATCAGCAAATGCTGTCTCTGGCTGCAGAAGTTATCAGTATGAACTCTGCTTTCACATTTATAGCAAGCTTCCCAGCTTGACTTTTGAAACTTCCCATTGCTAGCAAGTTAAGCCGTGATGAAACAGCAATGCTTTTTAAAGAATCCAGCAAAATGAACTTTCGCAGCTCATGGTCCACGCTCAACAGATTCCTTGAGATTCTCCTTGGTAAAACCAAACACAATGTACCGGCAGCAAGTATGCCAGGAAACACGTGGCCCAGCAACCTATCAGGAGGGAGGAAGGCGGAATGGGGGACATTTTCTGAGCATTGCGTATCACACCACCACATTAAAATCAACAGTTTATATCAAGTGTATTTTCCATTCTGCGTAGACGTATGCTGTTAGCTACTTCAAACACGAAGACGCACAGTTTAAATTTTTGCAGCATTTTTGTGCCCAAGTATCCACAGAGATGAAGAAATGGTTGCCAGAAAGATTTCCATCAAATGTGCAGAACAGATGTACCAGGCACCAAGCAAGAAGACCAGTAACAACCTTTGGATGTTGACAAAGGCAATGTAGGCGCCAGATAATCACTCCTTTTTACATGGGAGCAGCAATCGCATCCAAAACACAGCTGTGAGCAGCCGTTTGAGATGGATGGACAAAGAACTCCACGGATGCTGGGAAACAGCACAGCCAGCAGGATGCAACCTGAATCTGTTGGCTTCAGAGCTAAGCTCTAGCACTTGTTTTTTCTTCCCCCTTCCATAACAGAAGAATAACATTTTCTCCATTCACAGGAGCTCCGAGAGATGTAAATCAACTGACGCTAGTCCTTGGACTGAAGCCACACATTTCATTTTAACCACACTCCAGATGAGCTCTTTTCTTGTACTAAGAACATTCTTGATGCCAGAAAAGACGAGCCTACAGGAGCAGCTGATACGTGGCTGCTGCGATCACTATTGCTGGATGCAAAACAAACAGCAAACAGTGCTATTCCTAAGCACCAGAATTGACCCAGAATATTCCATGGTGAGAAGAGACGTTGAGACTGACACAAACTGAGCGAAGGCTGGGCAGAACTGCTACTTACTCTGAGCCCCAAACCTTCAGAGCTCTCCAACAGCTAAGAAGCAGTAGTTACAACAGGGACACACCTCACCCTCTAAGCTGTAACTTGTAGCGTAAAGCTGCCCATGACAACTTTTCGCTCCAGTAAAATAAGACACAAAACAAAGTTACAGTTTCAATACAATTTATACTCTTGCTATCACAATAAAAAGGTATCAATTAGCATATTAATCTTCGCTATCTGTGAATTTTCTCTTTAGTCACACTTTGATAACTGGAGTTTGAAACAATAAATATAAAAAGGGACACTGAAAAGGCTAGCTTCAGTTTGCAATTTAAAAAAAAAAAAGTCACACTAAAAGCAAATGCAGCTGAAGCACTGCTACGAAATGAGCAACTTTTACTCACAATGGTCACCAAAGAGATGCAGAGAGACAGCGTAACACCTGTAAACCACTGCAGAGCAGCTGTCAAGTCAACAGGATGCATCTGTACTGGAAACAATGGATTCTCACCCAAAAGTTTTTGGTGGCTTCTGTTCGAGCGATGAGGTCTGAGAGACAGGCACCTCTAAGAACTAAACCAATGCTCCGTCTCTCGGTAAGGAGTGGTACAGACAGGTAACTCACCATACGAAACTTAGTCCTCCCCGAGGTACTTGCTCCATTTTCACAGACCAAGGCTTGAGAGAGGACTTCTCTCACACATGCATCCACAAGCAGGTTAAGAAAGTAGGACAGCATATGAATACAAACCAGGAGCAAAATCCAGCAAGGTTCTGGCAGCTCCTCTACAGGAAAAAAAACCCTGTCTTTATTTTATGGAGGGATGTCTAGAGAAGCCACAGGGTAGAAAGTGTGAATATTCCTTTTGACGATATCTAAGGTCCAAGTGCTTGAATTTACATAGCTCCACATCAGAAATAACACTAAACTCCTCCAAATAAGGAAAAAAAAAACCAACAAACAGAAACGGAGGTGACCAAACCTTTAAAACCACAAGTGTAAAGGTCTACAGTGATGAATCTAAGCAAATCTTCCGCTCTTCTGCAGCCAAAGAAATTGAAATACGTTCTGAAAGCTCAAATGGTTTTTTCCATAGCACTGAAAAAACCCAAAGCCCTACAAAATCTCTTCCCATTCAATTCCTCCTGCCAAAGTCTCCTCTATACACTGAAATAAAGAGGAAGTCCCAGAGTATAAAACGTAGACAAGGTAAATTGAAGGTATGCGTGCAGATAAGCATAGCTGTCCTTTGCTACAGACAATTCTCCATTGTTACTGAAATGGCAATAAAACAGCTCATCACAGTACAGAGATTAATTGACACCCTCAGAGCATGCCTCCTCCGCTCCCCACAACTTAGTGACAAAGACCTCAGAACGGTTCCTCAAGCGTAAGCACAATTATTGAGATTTTGGCTCAAAACCAGACACAGCAGGTTACTACGCCCTAATGATCCTTTCATTCTTCAAGTATCAAAGCTGCAGATCAATATACTTTCACCCCAAAAAAAGGCAGGTGCGAAAGGACTATCACAAACAGCAAATGCAAGTCTGTCACTACTGTTACTTTGCAGCTTTGTCTTTTGGGGATGGGGAAACCACCTCGCAGTCAACCAACCTGTTTCTTTTCCAACAATCTTGTATCATTTGAATGCTTCCAGATTTGTTAAATTTCAAATGAGAGAATGCCCAGCCTTCCTGCAGCAACTGGAGCACCACCCCAAGAGCATGCTGCGGGAGCAGGGAATAGCTGGCACCCGACAACACAGAGTGGAGCGAGGGAATCTAATTTCCCGACGGGAAGCAAACCAGCCCATCCGGTCCCACTGCAAGCCTGAGAGTAGACGTGCATGCTCTTTCCAGATCCAGTCCCATTCCCTGCGAGTCCAGCGAGAGGACCTCAGCATCTGAATGGCAGCATTCAAAAATTACTCCCACCACACAAATTCAGCCTGCATTTTTGCCAACTCCACACAACACACAACTGCCTTTTTGAGAAGCAGGGGAGCCTAAACCCTCAGCAGTGTGCCCAGCTCAGACTGCAGTGCAGAGATATTTCCATGAAGTTACTACAGCAAGCATCAAGAAGCTGCAGAATAAGCACCAACCACCGCCACTTTTCTACTTCGGTAGAAATCTTCCAGTGCTTTTCCATACCTGAACTTACAGACCATTGCCTGTATATTTACAGACCATTTCATAGTTTTGCACAAAAAGTCTGTACAGAGCTGACCCTAGTACCAAGGAGGAAAAAGCAGCCCAGCTTCTAGCCACTGGATATAACTTGGGAGTTGTTAAATTTATATTTACTTGAATTTACTAACTCCAATCTTCAGCATATCCACCACATACAAAAATATGGGTCTTTCATCTCATGTTCACATAATTAATCTCACACCCCCCTCGCCCCCGT